TGAATTCTACCTCATAAACCATCTCTCCAGTTCTACTTGCTCAGTTTTTTTTAAATTTGGTGTGAGGGTAGGTAGAGTCTCAATTATTACCTGGATCGTCATTCTCCTATTTATGTCTTCATGAGATAATACTCGGCTTTTTCTCATGGGATCCGGGCATGCTTTGGCCAGGCTGGTCTTAAAGGGCACACCCTCCACTCTCCACCTCCATTGGCAGCCACTCTGTGTTTGAGTGACATGGAGTCCTACAGCCGTCATACCGGGTTACCACTGGCTGCTCTGCACCAAGCGATGTGATGCAGCCGTGGCCTCAGAGCTGAAGGGTGCCCGGACCTCCCACAGCAAACGCCACAGAATTACTTCAACCAAGGATGCTTGGCAAACAACCAGTCAGATCTTTATTTCTTCTTTAAAACTTAGCACTGGTAAATATTATTTTTCCTTTTAAATCCTGATCTTTGTAGATTTTGCTTTCATTAAAAATAGAAAGAAGCTGAGCACAGGGGGCTCATGGTTGCCACCTCCGTTATGTACAAGGCTGAGACCAGAAGGGTTCCGTTTCCAAAGCGGCCCAGGCAGAAAAGTCCAAGAGGCTCTGCCTCCAACGAGCCATCCAAACGCCTAGCGGGAAGCATGGTTCAAGCGGCAGGATGTCAGCCGAGAAAACATGGAAGTGACAGTCCTGAGTTCAAACAGCAGTACTGCCAAAAGCGGTTTTACAATAGGGATTTTTTGTTGCTGTTGTGGTGTGGGGTGCTCTCCCCCTTTGCCTCTCAGTGCCTCGGTTTCTCCTGCCACAGAAGATGAGTTGAGAATAGATACTCCTCGGGAGCAGCCGGGTTATCAGCAGCAGTGCCGGGGCTCCGCAGGACCCTTGTGTTCGGTCACGTGAAGTTTGACTTTAAAAGGAAGATAGGTCAGCCAGGGGAATACAAGTTTGTGAAAAGGACAGTACTCTATTTAAGGAAAGGCTTTCATGAATTCAAACCACCAAATCCTTAGCATAAGTAGTAAAGCTGGCTCCTTGGGTGATTCCACAGCGTCAGGGTTAAGACACTGTTCAAAAGACAGGCCGGGCGCCAGGTGAAATCGGGTGTTGTCATTGGGACAGGGCTCTGCGGGGTCCCAGGCTCCCTTACAGCTCATTTGCCTGGGGTCCCAGCATGGCCCAGGGAGTAATCCAGGCCCTGCTGGGTAGGCGTTCACAGGGAGCAAGGCGGGTGGGAGGCCGTCTGGGCCCAGGACAAGCGCAGGGCAGCCTTCTGGCCTTACCACTGGAACGTTCCTTACCGCTGGAACGTTCTTGCTCCGGGAGAAAGGACGGATCCACCCGTGGCCCACAGTCCCTTTGCGTCCTCAGCCTCAGCAAGTGCATGACCTCGTCTTCTGAAAGAGAGTCCAGGAGGTGTGCCGGAGCCTGGGCGGGCTCCTACGCGGGAGACCTCCACCCACAAGGCAGCACATCTCAGAGGTGTGGATCCACTCCTGGGTGCTCTGCACTCACGTAACATTTCACAGAGCTCCTGAAGCGCCGGAAGCCAGGGGCTCTGGAGGGAAAGTCCAGACACGGGATGGCCAAAGAGGCTATGTCCACAAGCACAGCTGGTGCAAATTTAGTTCTGATCCATCGAGTGAGAGAAAGCAGTTACCCATGGAACAGGACAGTATTTATGGCCTTAGAAGATGCTCTCTGATGCACACACAAAAATAGCCTTGATGTTTGGGTGAAATAGGTCTTCTCCATGTGCCCGACACCAGCCAGTCCTGCAAAACTTCTGCCCCGTTAGGCTATCGAATTCTGAAAAATACGTCTTCTTTACAATCCTAGAAGCATGATTCTCCAGAAAGACAGCTATCCAAACAAAAGGATATTTGGTATACTTTGGAGTTCCAACCAAATACGTTTGAATGTAGATTTTTGTTTTCTCCGACAGTGCATTTGCCATTTGTGTTACTATTCCTTCCAGCCTAGGGCAACTCTGCTCTAGGAGTATCTATCTATCACACTGCCACTGGGCCGATGGTGGACCTGCTGGCTCCGAGCTGTTATCTGGGTCTATTTTAATGCATATCATAAATCACAAATAGAAACAATCATAAGCATGGCTTTCCTAGTCTATTTTAGATAGTCTGATGCCTGTAGGTCTTTGCTTCATTTAAACCTTGGGTTTTTAGAACTTGCCTGGGGTGGAAAATCTCCTTGTCATCATCGTTGTCGACAGACAAGCGAGCATTGTGAATTAAGCCGCCGCTGGAGCTCTTGGTGAGGAAGCGGGGAGTTTATTTCCAGGGAGCCTCATCTCCACAGCCTGGCCTTCCGCAGTGCTGCTGGTGACCTGCAGACCGAACGCTCTACTCACGTCCGACTCTGCGGTCACTTGTTGCACCCCTGAAGCCGTCTCCTTGTGTCTCACACTCTCCTAATGACCTCAAAGTGTTCTTTGCAAACCTTGACTAAATGGGATGAATGGGTGGGTATGGTGCTCCCCCCTTTCAAGCGAGTGGTCTAGACATTGTCACTTGCCAGACGTGTCCTGGGAGTTTAGACATTGTCACTTGCCAGACGTGTCCTGGGAGTTTAGACATTGTCACTTGTCAGACGTGTCCTGGGAGTTGGGCTGGGCTGCTCTGGCCAGCTCAGCAAGTCCTCCTCCCGCAGGAGGCCAGCCTGGCCCTGCTTGTCCTTCCTAGAAGAATTCCCCCTCTCTGATCTCCTTCCCAAGGAGCCTGGAACACAAAGAGGACTCCCTGATTTGAGGAGACTAGCAGATGGCTTTTCACTGTTTTCCTGGTCAAAGTATGAAAAAGAGTGGATTCATCTTCTTGTACAATTGGTCTCAGTCCCCTCCATAGATTTATTTTGGTTCTCTCTATCAGTCCTATTAATGAGATCTTTTAATTCTTTGAAACTGGGAATATAACTTGTTGCATCTTCTGGTCTTCTTGATTATTTATTTAATTGGGAAAAACTCTGTAAATGAATTGACAATTTTTTTCTCAGCTGAACCATGTCTCATTTACATCTCAGAAAGAAGTTGAGGTTTAGGTTTAGGTTAGGTTAAAGGTGGGTCTGTACATGATGGACCAGACCTTGAGAGCTAATTCTATACCTCTTTCCCCTGTCTCCAGACCACGCTCCCGCGGCCCCCGCGAGCCTCTTCCAGTTAGCGCACAGACATGGAACTGAGAGGCCACATCATTCCAGCAGAGGTCCTTGGATTTTCCTGTGGCATTGGGGTAGCTGGGGCAGGTGGCGTTGGGGTAGCTGGGGCAGGTGGCGTTGGGGTACTTAGGGCAGGTGGCGTTGGGGTAGCTGGGGCAGGTGGCGTTGGGGTACTTAGGGCAGGTGGTGTTGGGGTAGCTGGGGCAGGTGGCGTTGGGGTAGCTGGGGCAGGTGGCGTTGGGGTAGCTGGGGCAGGTGGCGTTGGGGTAGCTGGGGCAGGTGGCGTTGGGGTACTTAGGGCAGGTGGTGTTGGGGTACTTAGGGCAGGTGGCGTTGGGGTAGCTGGGGCAGGTGGCGTTGGGGTAGCTGGGGCAGGTGGCGTTGGGGTAGCTGGGGCAGGTGGCGTTGGGGTAGCTGGGGCAGGTGGCGTTGGGGTACTTAGGGCAGGTGGCGTTGGGGTACTTAGGGCAGGTGGCGTTGGGGTAGCTGGGGCAGGTGGCGTTGGGGTAGCTGGGGCAGGTGGCATTGGGGTAGCTGGGGCAGGTGGAGTTGGGGTACTTAGGGCAGGTGGCGTTGGGGTAGCTGGGGCAGGTGGCGTTGGGGTAGCTGGGGCAGGTGGCGTTGGGATAGCTGGGGCAGGTGGTGTTGGGGTAGCTGGGGCAGGTGGCGTTGGGGTACTTAGGGCAGGTGGCGTTGGGGTACTTGGGGCAGGTGGCGTTGGGGTAGCTGGGGCAGGTGGTGTTGGGGTAGCTGGGGCAGTCAGCAGGGTGGTAAGGAGGAGACCGGGAGGCTCCCAAACTATGAGTCCCTGGAAAGAGGCCCCCAGTCCCCCTGCGGGTCTCACTGTAAGACGTGGCTTCTTTGCAGCGCCACTCAGCGCCTGCCACCCTCCACGCTCGTGGGGTTCCACCAAGCCAGTGGGAAGGTGGGGCAGAGGCTGAGCCCCCCCCCCCCCAAGGTACCGGCCCGCACGGTGTGCTGCTCCTCTGGATGAAAAAGGCACACGGATGTGTGCAGGGAGATCAACTTCCCTTTTTTTTAGAAATGCCACCTCTTTAGCGCCTGATAATTAAATAAGTGCGTTTTCATCATTTATTAGAAGGCTTCCCATTCTGTTCCAGCCGGCTGGCATTCTTACATTTATAGCCATGTTATGAACCTCGGAGCGGGAGCTTGTTTGATTCACAGTTCAAACCGTCCCACACCTGTGGGCTGGGGTCTTGAACCAGTGCTTACTGAGCATCACGCCCAAATTCCCCATGCTGTCTCAGCACCCCAGCCCCTCGGCTAACACGGCAAATGGCTTCTAGTCTCTGCATACACCCTCTTCCTGCCCCGCCATACATAGTTGAGCTGCCCCTACCGGCCTGCATTTCCAATGGCTGCAGCAAAGCAGGTAACACGAGGAGCTAACCACAGGGCAGATCACTGCTCCTATGCATACTCCTATGCTTTACTCGAGTAAGCCAGCTGTTTTTCTCATTGGTCATCTACTGTGCTGCCATCTAGGAAGCTAAGCCTAGACAAACCGATGAGCAGAAGCCAACGGAAAGCAGGCAAGGGTGCTTGAAGGGGAAGGCTAGACCGCGTGCTCGCCGGGCTCTAATTAGAAATCACGGAATCAGCTGCATACCCTTCCACTCAGGCCACCGTCATGAAGGAGTGTCAGCCCCTCCTGGCTGTTGTCCGTTGTGTGGCGAGTTCCTGTGTCTGTGCAATGTCACTACTACGCCTTCCCACTCCAGGAACATCACACACCAGGCCACGCGAGGGCAGAGACTGGGCTGGCGCTTGCCGCCCTGGATGAAGAGGGAGTTAGAAGCTGAGGGCCGGCACGATGGCTACGTGAGGATGAACTGAGGGGTCCCAGCTGATCATCCCATAGCTGTTTATTTTTCCAGCCATCGGTCTGGCCGACCCACCTTCGGGGGGGGGGGAGGGGTTGCTCGATCTCATTGTTGTGGGAAGTCCCACAGCAAGCTACGTGTTGGCCATCAACTTCCGATGAGCTGTTGGGTCTGTGTGAGTGGCACAGCTGGCGCCGGGCAGTGCACAACCTGCGCACACTGGGCAGACGCACAGCCGTGGTGTGCAAGACACTGAGGAGCCTCCCGCAGCAGGGGGTGAAAGCGGGCTAAGCAGCCCTGCGTGCTCAGACTGCTCAGTGGGAGTGAGAGGCCAGGACCAGCACACCACCTTCGTCCTGAACGGGCAGGCCTCGCACCGCTGAGCCCTAGTAAGTCTCTTGATCCCCGCAGCCTCCCCCTTTCTTCCAGTGGATATAGACCACATGTCTACCAGCCCCATGGAAAAGGAAGTTCTTCCCTGTTCTGGAAACAGGGCTGGGAACAAGGTAGGTCGCGCTCTTCCTTGTCAAAATTCATATGGAGGAAAACAATCAAGCTGTTTTCCCGAGTGGTGCAAGCTACAAGGAGATAAACAAGTGCGAGGTGTGGTGTGACGGCGAGTGGCTGCCGGCCGCCCCCTGAACCGCACGTGTCTGGAAAACCTGCCCAAGAGGCAGGAGCTGCAGGAAGAGGCGGGGAAGGGCACTCGGGAGACCAGGGAGCCTGGATTAGCAGTGCGGAAGTCTTGAGGCGGGAATGAACACGCGTGGCGTAGAGAAAGGCTGTCCTCTTCTCGGTGAGCTGTGGAGATTGGCCGTGCGGGTCACTGGCAGCGTGAGGGCTGCCTAATGTTTGCTCCCCAGTCAAGGCGTCCGCAGCAGGGCCGGATTGCTGGTGGAGGCCCCACTCGCTTCTCCAGCTCCGGGCTCTTCCACTTCTCTTTGGCTTGTGTGCTGGGTAATCTCCCCAAGTGTTTGGGATTAAAACCCAGCCACCTTCCCCTCAGGCTCTCTCTCGGTTCGGGCAGCTGACATTGAGCTGCTCTTGGAAGGTGAAGAAATATCATGTTTTTAAAACTTCCTCCAGGGCAGGCTGTTTCTGCAGAAAGGCCTGCAGACTTTAATTTTGAAGCACCTTAATCAAAGCCCTCTGAAGGGCAATTTAGGTCACAGTCCTGTACAATGAATCGTTTTCCAAGTAAAGCAGACCCGGAAATAGCTGATGAAACTGTAGAAGATAATGCAGAAGTTAATGCATATTTGATTTGTTTACCCCTTCAGAAAGTTCTTATCTGATCAGGAAAGCTTCTGCTTCCATCACTGAAATTTGAGGTCTCCTGATAGCTGAGATTCTGGAGTCATTTCACCATCCACCCTACTCCAGGGCCATTACAGGAAATAAAAGATTTATCAGTGCTCACAGCGGTGTCCCTCTCCCAGGCGCGGAGGCCCCTGCCTGAGAAGGGTCGCCAGATCCCCGTGAACCCAGCTGCGCAGCCTAGCCGGCCAAGGTCAAGCAGCAGACTCTGAAGATCAAAAGCCTAAGCTTTCATTTGCCCAGCAATTTGCATGTCCTGTAAAAGCCGTAACTTAGTGTTTCCACCGAGTGGATGGGGAGGAGAAGGGAGAGTGCCAGGGGCAGCCACAGGTCCTCACTGAGGTTAAAGTTCATCCTGTCTCCCCTCCCCCTACTGTGTTACTTAAAGATAAGTCAGTGTGGGATTTCATTATCAACGGCGAAATTTGAAGTCATAATGATTGCCTTGCCTGTGCTTATTAAGTGACATTGGACAGCCTTCTTTCCCCAGGACTTCTCTCTCTTCCTCGGTGTCAGCTCCAGGTTCCTTCTTGGCAAGGTTCAGCATTCGGTGTCACATTGTGCATGGCCTTCACAGGCCGGGCCATATCCATCCCTTCTCTCTGAAGCAAGGTCCACGTCAGATGATCACAGACACATAGACACGTACTCACTGCTCTAGAAAGACTCTGCATAGGATCTGCCGTCTTATCTATAAAACTGCATCTCTCCAAGCAAAGGCCTACCCAACGCCTCCCTGCCTGTGGGCAGTCATTAAGTGAGCAGAATATTCCGGGCGCTCAACACTGTGAAGAGGGAAGAAAGATTTATTGTTCCCATCTGTTTAGCCAACTGGCCCATCCTCAGTCCGGCGGAGAGGCTCTGCCCTGAACTGAACCTGGTGCCGGCTTCTGGGTGGGTTGTAATTTCTCTGTTCTCTTGGCGGGTACCAATATATCTGTGTCCTAACTGCCATGACACTGCCATTAGATATTGCAATAGTAGCATAAGATCTCTAGCTTGGGCTTGTTCCAGATTGTCTTGGATATGCTCGGCCAAGGTCAGGTAAATCAGACTCTATCCTAGGCACAGAGACTTTATGGGTTCCCAGTTGACCATGAAGTACAGCCGGAGGTGAGAGCCACTCGCTGAGGACTTCTGGCATGTCTGCGGGTTCTGTCAAGGCCTGGGGAAAATTGTCCCTTCTGGCTCCTTCCGGAAAACTCTCCTAATCCCTCCTCAACACATAGCTCTTGGAAAGTGTTCACATCATGTCATCTGGTTCAACACAACATTTTTCTGTTGACTTTGATCTTCTTTAACCCAATTTATCTTCAATTTTTAAAATGTACTGTGAAGCCAGTGACTCAGGAGGCTGAGATCTGAGGATCACGGTTCAAAGCCAGCCTGGGCAGGAAAGACCGTGGGACTCTTATGTCCAACAAAACACCAGAAAACCAAAACTGGCACTATGGCTCAAGTAATTTAGTGTTGGCCTTAAGCTGAAGACCTGCGGGACAGTGCCCAGCCCCAGAGTTCAAGCCCCAGGACTGATAAAAAAATAAATAAATAAATAAATAAAATTTACTGTGAGCTAAGAATTGCTAGATAAATCAAGAATGCCATATTCTTTAAAGACCTTTCATAGCCTTCAAAACCCTACCGCTTTAATATCTACTTGTTACTTTGTTACTGTTAGGTTTGGATTTAGTGGGAAAATGGACCTCTTATTAGGTCTTTGGTTTTAAACTCCTAAACCTCTTCCATTAAGTCTTTAAAAATTAAGGTTTAGTGAACTCCCACATGCACCTGATAGTGTTACCATGGAAGGTTTCAGCCTGATAAAACGTACTTAGAAATTATTTTCCATTTGCAGTTCAACGATGACAGCTGGGATTCTTGTGTCCACGTGTGTACACTGCATGCAGTGACCTCGGCCCCTTCCAGACTTCCTTCCCAGTCACACTGACAAAACATTTGAATTCAAGCATTTAAAATATCTGGTAGACATGGCCAGTCTGGAAAGGAGGAAAAGCCTGGGAATGGATTCCCGGAGCTGGTCCCCACCAACAGCAGGCCAATTAAATGCTGAGATCACTTGGGAAGAGTTTAATGAAGCATCTTGTCGACAGAGCAGTAGGAAGTGCATCTTCATCTTAAGTCTGTGGGACATGTACACATGCTGCCACGGCGCGAAGAGTGTGGCAGGAAGGGACCAGAAATCAAACTTACCGCCGCTCCCCCTCTCTCTGTCAATACAGGCGCTGCAGAGATATGTAGATATGGATAGATGTCTTTTGTCTGCGCCTTGCTCGGTCTCATCACCAGTTGCACACGGGAGCGGGGAACAGGCTGAGCCGGAAGCTTGCGTCTGGAAGTGGGTTTGTGGGGAGGGAGGCAGCAGAAGCAGTCCCGGGGCGTTGTGGCTGGAGATCACCGCTGGGGAAGAGGGACTGGTGAGGCTGGGAAGGGAAGGACTCCCGTGGGACCGGCTGCCACCGTGGCTCGTGCTCCCGGGAGCCGGCCTGTCGGCCGAGGATGCTGGCGGGGATCCCGTGTCTCCACTCGGGGCTCTGCCCCGGGAGCTGTGCCGAGGCTGGACTTGTACACATCCTGGGAATCAGAGGCAGAAAGGAGGCAGTTTTGCAGGCTGCTCGTCCACACCCTGCCCTGTCTCCCCTCCTTCTGCCTGGTGGCGGCCTGCGGATGGCTGGCCGCTACCCCATCCCACGTGGCGGGGGGCTGGGCCAGGCGCCGGTGGTCTGTCCAGCTCCACTTGCACCATTTTGCTGATAGACTTCTCCCTCGCTGCTCCATCCCGGAAGGCGGCGTCTGTGAGCAGGCCGCGTCTGTGAGCAGGCCATGTGGGAGCTTGGGGTCCGTTTGTGCCTGGACAGGCTGGGCTTTCATTCCCGCACTATCAGAGCCTCTGGTTTCAGGCCTTTCCGTTCGACTTCCCTGGGGTCTTGCATCCTGCCTGGCTTCCCTGCTGTAGACCTGGCTCAAGTCCAGCAGTCCAGTTCACGCGTGTATTTGCCTGCGTACATGTTAATCACGTTATTTTGTGAGTTTTGTATTTATTTCTTATCTGTTTTTAAAGCAGTTTTTCCCATCGAGAACGTCTTAGCGGAGCTCTCTCAGCATAGCGTTTGCAGGAAGTTGGCGTCGCGTTTATCTCCCTGTGGTCTGGAACCTGGGAAACCGCGGGTGAAAGTGAGGCTGGAGGTTCTCCCCGGATTTCCAGGATGAGTTTGTCATCACACTGGCAGCCTTCCCACTGGCCTCCCCGTCTCAGCCGGTGCCCAGCGACGCTGTCCTCCACTCAGTCCCTGTGCTGGAGTCTCACAGGGAGCTAGGACAAAGTCCCAGCACACGGAGCCCACCGTGACGCGCTGTGTTCATGTTCTCTCGCACAGGTCAGAACTGTGGCGGTTTGGTGCAGGGACCGAATGGCACCATCGAGAGCCCCGGCTTCCCCCACGGGTACCCAAACTACGCCAACTGCACCTGGATGGTGATCGCTGGAGAGCGTAACAGGATCCAGCTCTCCTTCCACACCTTCGCACTCGAGGAGGACTTCGACATCCTGTCGGTCTACGATGGACAGCCGCAGCAAGGGAACCTGAAAGTGAGGTAAAGCGGGGTTCTGGGCACTGTCTGCGGGGCAGAGACGTTGCGGATCCGGGTTCCAAAATATATGTGGGATGATTATTAAGTGTCATAATCAGAAAGGAAAAGTCAAGTCACTGCAAAGGGAAAACTAAGGATGTCAGGCTTTTGTCAAATCATGTACGATGTCTTGGTTATACTTGAAAACTTCTCCTGGAAAGCAATTGTTGACTTCATTTGTAGATTTCACATTGCTGGAGATCTGTGGAGCAGTGTCGTCAAGGTAATTTAAATCCAGTTACGGCGCATCATTGTCTTCAAGCACTGTGGATTGGGGGAAATCACAAAGATGAGGGAGCTAGAACAATTTAGACAACAATACAAAGAACCTTCAGTGTGTGAGCAAACACGCTCAGCGAGAACACCAGGTGTGGGCTGGGGAGGAACGGCCCAGGCTGCTGAATCCTCTGGAGAGATTTTCTTTTAGACAAGCAACATTGACTTTTTTCTTTTGATGTATGATTTTTACCATAAGGAAAGAAAAATAGCATTCCATGGAATTATTTAAACATTCCTCTCACGTCCACGTAGCATTTCTTAATTAGCACAGGAGGAGGAGTATCGCTTTCAAAGAATCAGATTTTCTTCACTGATTCTGATAAGTGATTTTTACACTTTTTATTGTTTCTAGTCTTTCCATATTTGAAAGACAAGGCATGTTTGTCAAATCTGTACGAATGAGCAATATCTTCCTCCTCAGTGAACTTATTTAAAAATATGCATCCATGGTCAACAAAGTCTACATCTTCTCGCTTTAAAATTCTGCATTAGTCAGAGGTTGTGTTTAATGTCTGAAAGTTTGAACAAAAATTGACCACCGGTAGGAAGAATTGCACTGCTCCAATAATAAAATGTTATCACTGCCAGTGCCAGCTGAAACATACGAAATCATAGATTATTAATAGGATTGTTGGGTGAAATACATAGCTTATTTTGATTTGTAAATCTAGTTAACAAATTTATGTCATCACCACTACATGGTGAGTGTATTAAATACAATGTGTTTCCTAATGTATTTTGAAATACTTTATATATTCACTATCCACTTTCAAATATAAAATACCTTCTTTTTCTGCAATATTTGTTGTCTGTGTTTAGAAACAAGATTTTTCCATTTATTATGGAGTGGTCCTTTCCTGTTTAAGTTGGCTAAATAAATCTTCTTTCATGTTATGGATTTATGGTGCTACCTTTGGTTGTTTGTACAAAGCTCCTGCAGTATATCCTTGGTCAGTTTGTATGAGATTTTTTAACTCTCACCCTTCTCTGCTAAATGTATTTACTTTATATCTGCATGTCCGACTCTTTGGGAATGATGGCATGTTAAAATAGCAAAGGGAAACAGACTGTACACAGTGCAGGGAAATAAATTAAAATGCACATTAATCAAGTAGCAACTCATAGAACTGACGTTACAATTAATTCTTTTTCATTAATAATGTCTAGTTAATATATACTAAAATGCCTTCAGTTTTCCTTTCCTTAATATTTCCATTTCCTATCGTTCCTTCACATAGAGAAAAATATGTTTTGTGTGCTAATTCGATTGACTGCCTGCTGCTCAGTAGCTCCAATAATTCATAATCCTCTTATTTCTGAAGGATGATATTAATATCATTTTTCTGTTAACAAACTCTATAATATGGCTTCCTTGTGCTCTTCAGTTTTATGACAGGAGTGAAAATGGAAATATTAAGGTTGGAACAATTGCACTTAGCATGTCTTTGCTTTTTAAAAATATTTGGTGGCACTGGGGTTTGAACTTGGGATCTGGGACTTGCTGGACACCGTGCCTGTCTGCAGCACAGTCTTTCTCTGTACGATGCCTTTGGGAAGCTGCCGTGACAGCCCTGGGCCACCGCACGTGGCTGGTTTCCTGTGTCTTAATTTGAGGGCCCAATGAGTCATATCCAAAATGGCGAGTCTACCCCGGGAAGCCACCCCCTCAATGGGGGATGGCTGTGTGACACGGTGGTCCTCAGCCTTAGAGAGATACTGTCAGCAAGAGACAAACAACACAGGGGGCCCTGTGAGTTTCTAGCGTCTGTGTCTGGATTTTGGTTTTTGTTTCTTGTCTCCTCCCATTGGGGACATCACCCAATAATAGGTCAGGTCTCAACTTGTGTCTTGTCCTTAAAGTAAGGTTGAAACTTTCATCTTAATGTCGAATGACATAATTCTTCTTCCTGTCTCCGCGCCTGGCCTGCTTAGGTGGGTGCCATTCTTAGGGGGTGCCCTGGCTCTTTGGGGGTCTATTCTAGCTATCGTAACTTCAATTGGCAAGAAAAGTCTGATCTGATGGGTAACTGCCGTGTTGGTTGAATACGTGACAATTAGAAGTAGGTGGCAGATGCTGTCGGGAAACGTGGAAGGAGGGTCATCTGCAGGATGACCCTCAGATAGTGGCAGGTTACAGGTGGTAGCGAAGGCCATTGGCTCCGGGGAGAGCACTGGGGTGATGTTTCCTCCCCATTCTATCGGCGAGCCGTTGACTTAGTCTCAACCACAGTCACCTGACCACACCTGAGCTGTGCTGGGGTGAGCCGAGGGAAGTCCAGTGCCGGGCAGTGCGGCCACCCAGGAGCTGTTCCAGAGAGCCGCCACGGCTCTGCTTCACGAGGGTCTTTGCAGTAGCTAAGAAGACACGCTGACGGGAGAATTGCTTGTTTGTCACTGACATGAGTATTTCACTGTAAGAGCGTGTCACTATTGGCTCACCACAGGAGGAAGAATTGCACTGCTTCAGTAATAAAGCGCTACCATGGCCGAGGCCAGCTGAAATGGACGGAATCATAGACTGTTAATGGGTTTGTGGGGTAGAACACATCTAGTTCATTTTGATTTGTAAATCTAATTCGCATATTTATGTCATCACTACTGCATGGTTAGTGTATTGAATGTGATGTGCTTCCTTAATGTATTTTGAAATATTTTATTTATATATTCACTATCCACTTTCTGAATGGACATAAGAGGCAGAGTTAATTCCTGGCTGCAAAATGGAACACTTAAGTTTAGAATAATTGAGTTTATTGCAGTTTGAACATCAAAATTTTAAAATTAGAAAAACTTAAACTATAATTTACACATTATAATTTATAAATGTGCTCTTCCCGGGCTAGTTCTTTAGTGCAAACACACTGACGACACATACAGAATTTGTACCACATGTACCCCATCGATAAATTCAGTTTTCACATGTAGGTTTGGAAAGCTGGAGCAAGACTTCTCCCCAGTTCCTCATTGACTTTTCTGAGCCGTCAGATTCTATTGATGAAAGCTGGGTGCATATTGGCACAGCACCTCATGCTTTCTCCCTCTCCACCGTGGTCTGATCGCTCAGTCACTATCCTAAAAGCTTGATGTTGCAGCAAGACCCCGTAGCCAAAGGTGCTTCCAGGAAGAGCTGCGGCGCGGGCTCTGTGTGCTTCTTTCTGGCTGCCAGGACACACACCGTGACAGTCCTGCCTGTTGTCCCCTCTCTGTTCCGTGATGTGTGCATGCAGCAAGTTGAGACTTCCAGATGGAAGCTTCCTGGTACCAGCAGCTCCACCCATGGCTGGGCTCCACTTCCAGGCCCCTCTCTGCGCTCCTCTTCCAGGAGTCCTCCCTGCACTCCTCTTCCAGGAGTCCTCCCTGCGCTCCTCTTCCAGGAGTCCTCCCTGCACTCCTCTTCCAGGCTCCTCCCTGTGCTCCTCTTCCAGGAGTCCTCCCTGTGCTCCTCTTCCAGGAGTCCTCCCTGTGCTCCACTTCCAGGCTCCTCCCTGTGCTCCTCTTCCAGGAGTCCTCCCTGTGCTCCTCTTCCAGGAGTCCTCCCTGTGCTCCTCTTCCAGGCTCCTCCCTGCGTTCCTCTTCCAGGAGTCCTCCCTACACTCCTCTTCCAGGCTCCTCCCTGTGCTCCTCTTCCAGGCCCCTCTCTGTGCTCCTCTTCCAGGCTCCTCCCTGGGCTCCTCTTCCAGGAGTCCTCCCTGCGCTCCTCTTCCAGGCTCCTCCCTGTGCTCCTCTTCCAGGAGTCCTCCCTGCGCTCCTCTTCCAGGCTCCTCCCTGCGCTCCTCTTCCAGGCTCCTCCCTGCGCTCCTCTTCCAGGCTCCTCCCTGCTCCAGCCCTGTGCACGTTTCCCCATGTAGCTCATGTCTCTACAGGCCTCGTCCTGAGCTGACGCTGTGATACAATTACGACTCCTGTTTCTGCCTCTGAGCTGTTCCTCTGCCACTCTGAGGTCCATTTTCCAGAACCCGGTTGCATTTATTTTACTTTCCAAGGGAAACAGAGACCACACAACCTTCCCTCTGCGCTTGGCTGGTGCAGGCCGTGAACTTCGCCCGTGTCCCTGGCAGTCAGCCCCCTTGCTGGACTCCACTTCTGTTCTGATGTTACTGTCCTGTGTTCACACAACCGAGGGCAGTGTCCAGAGTGAGAATTGTGGTGGTGAGGTCCGGGTGTGGGAGCCACAGAAGGCCATTCCTGTGGGGTGGCTCTGCCCTGCCCCCTCCCTGTGGGACAGCTCTGCCCTGCCCCCTCCCTGTGGGATGACTGTGCCCTGCCCCCTCCCTGTGGGGCGGCTGTGCCCTGCCCCCTCCCTGTGGGGCGGCTGTGGGGTGGCTGTGCCCTGCCCCCTCCCTGTGGGGCGGCTCTGCCCTGCCCCCCTCCTGTGGGGCGGCTGTGCCCTGCCCCCCTCCCTGTGGGGCGGCTGTGCCCTGCCCCCTCCCTGTGGGGTGGCTGTGCCCTGCCCCCTCCCTGTGGGGTGGCTGTGCCCTGCCCCCTCCCTGTGGGGTGGCTGTGCCCTGCCCCCTCCCTGTGGGGCAGCTGTGCCCTGCCCCCCTCCCTGTGGGGTGGCTGTGGGGCGGCTGTGCCCTGCCCCCTCCCTGTGGGGTGGCTGTGCCCTGCCCCCTCCCTGTGGGGTGGCTGTGCCCTGCCCCCCTCCCTGTGGGGTGGCTGTGCCCTGCCCCCTCCCTGTGGGGTGG